GCCAGCCAGCAGGAGCTACAGAAAGATCAACAGATTCCTCTTCTTTGTATTGGGTTTAGCAGTGCCCAGATGAAGCCCAGCTGTGAAGCAAGGCAGGCTGCTGCTGCCAGCCTTGGGCCTTCTTTTGATAGCTTTGGGGCTCCCTGACCCAGCTACTGCCTGTTTGACAGGTTTTAGGCTGAGAAAGGACAGGCCATTCATATGCAAAAGCCACTGCACACAGCTTGGGTGGGGTTGTAAATTGGGTGGGGTGGGGTCTCAGGGAATCACCAGGGTGGAGCAAAAAACAATGGCTGCCAGTCAGCCCTGCACCAGAGAGGTCCCAGTGCAGGAACAATGACCGCTGCAAGCACCTCCATCTGAAAGGAAGCTGCCCTCGCATCCTGCCCCAATGCCAGACAGTCCAGTTTCTCCCCGTATGTGTCTGGGTCCCCCAGAGTCTCACCCGGAACTGGAGTTCAGAGCAAGTGGGAGCTTGTATCTCCCTCCCGATTAAAAAAGCAGCACACCCGGGTGCCAGCCTGTTCCACACCTCCTCACCTCCTACCAGTCTCAATGTGCTTTCTTCTTTACCTCTCTGGTTGTAGTACTTCCACTCAGCCAGCTTTCCCATGGTTCTGGATAATAGCTGTTCTGTCTTTTAGTTGTAATTTTGATGTGGTTGTGAGAGGCAGCAAGTACAGGTGTTTACCTATGCTGCCATCTTGGTTCTCTCCAACAGTGTCACTTCTTATTCAGTGTAGAGGAAGGTTGTGTTTATCTAACTTCAAGGAAAAAGAACAACTTTCAAGTGATTCTTCTCTCATCATCCTATATAATAAAACCTTAATATGCAAATAGACTGAACAGCAGAACAACCAGTCACTATGATGCACATTGACCACCAGGGGGCAGATGCTCAACATAAGAGCTGCCCCCTGATGGCTAGCGCACTCCCACAGGGGGAGCGATGCTCAGCCAGAAGCCAGGCTCATGGCTGGCAAGCACAGCAGTGGTGGTGGGAGCCTCTCTTGCCCCCGCTGCAGGGAGGCGGTAAGGAGCCAGGGGTCCTGGACTGCAAGAGCCCCAGACAGCAAGAGGGATGTCTGACTGCCGGCTTAGGCCTGATCCCCCATGGACATCCCCTAAGGGGTCCTGGACTGCAAGAGGACGAAGGCTGGGCTGAGGGGCCCCCTGCCTCCAGTGCACGAATTTCGTGCACCAGGCCTCTAGTATAATATACTTTTTAAAAAAATATATTTTATTGATTTTTCACAGAAAGGAAGAGAGAGGGATAGTTAGAAACATTGATGAGAGAGGAACATCGATCAGCTGCCTCCTGCACACCCCACACTGGGGATATGCGCTCAACCAAGGTACATGCCCTTGACCGGAATTGAACCTGGGACCTTTCAGTCTTCAGGCCACCGCTCTATTCACTGAGCCAAACCGGTCAGGGCAGTACAATATACTTTTAAAAGCTGTCTTAAAAAAATCCACAGGTGAGTCCCATTAGCTTCCATTCTGCTGGCAAGATTGTGGGTGTCGTTGGTGCCTCTCAGCTCAGACTGGAAGTAGAACACTTCCAGGACTTATAGATTCTCCGGGACTTCGCCAGGAAAACCCACAGCCAGTTTTCCTCCTGTGTGCCTAAGTTAAACTCAGTTCTGCAGGGAGCATGTTACATGTGGCCAGGTGTTGAAGTTCTGGCTAGCAGCTCATATGAAAAAAATGCTTTCATGATAGCAGGTGGATCATGTGAATGAGAGAACAGTGCCCTATAGAATTTTCTTGTATAATATGTATTCAGGGACAAAGGAACAGTTAGAAATAGTTGAGATGAATCTATAAGCAACTTACATATTTAACCAACTATGGCCTAACAAATATAGATCAGAATGACCAACATAATTTGTAAAAAGCCTCTTTCTTCCAGGGATAAGAAGCATGAGTAAAAACATTTATGATATGGCAAGCTTTAAGGAGCCAACATTCCACTGGTTTTCTTCCCAAGCCAGAGAGATTTATTCATTCATCCATTAATCCAACAAATTATGTGACTGATGATATGAGGACATACTTTCTATCCTCAAAGAACTCAGTCTAATAACAGACACATATTTAGATAATTTAAACATAATCCAGGAACAGAGAAGCATATTAAATTTATTGAGAATATTTAGGAAGGGCACCCAGCTCAGGATAAGGTTAGAGTAGAGAATGGAAAAAAATATCCGTGGCCTAGCTGGTGTAGCTCAGTGGTTGAGCATTGACCTATGAACCAGGAGGTCCCAGTTCAATTCTGTCAGTGCACATGCCTGGGTTCCTCTCTGAAATCAATAAAAATATATTTTAAAATAAAAAAATAAACAAAGAGCAAATTTTTTGTTGTTAATCCTCCCCTGAGGATATTTTTCCATTGATTTTTAGAGAGAGCAGCAAGAAGGGGGAGAGTCAGAGAGAAACATCAATGCGAGAGAGACACATTGATTGGTTTCCTCGAACACATGCACCAACCAGGTCATGTGCCCATGACCTGAATTGAACCCGGGACCCTTCAGTCCGCAGGCTGACTCTCTCTACTGAACCAAACCGGCTATGGTAGAGCAAAATAGTTTTTAAAAAATCAGGGAAGCCTTCCTGAAGGCAATTACATCTAAATTGTTTTTGAAAGAACTATTTACTGGCTGAGGAAAGAAGAACGGGATTGGCAGAATGTTGGGTGGGGTGGGTGAGTGGATGGTGATGTTCCTAGCAGAGAAACAGCATCAGTCAAGGTGGAGAGGATGTGGTATCAAGACTTGTATTCTGGCAGTGCTTGTTTGAAATGCTTATTATATACTGTAAAAATGTCAAGTAGGCAGTAGAGGTGTGTGTGTCTACAGTTCATGGGGAAGGGGAGGACAGAGTTGGAGATCTAGATTTGGTAGCCACTGGTAAATACATGGCATTTGCATCTGTAAATATCTGGAAATGGTATGTGAGGTTGTCTGGAAGAGTGAGAAGGGGGTCCAGGACAGAGGCCAAGAAGACAGATCATGTTAATATTTAGAGGGTGGTCTGGGAGGAGAAGCCAACAAGGGAAACTGCGAGTAATGGCTAAAAAGGCTGGAAGGAAACCAATCATGGGTCAAGGAAAAATAAGGGTCTCAGTGGGGATTTGGTGATCAGCCACTTCAAATGCCTTTGGGAAGCAGAGAAAGATAAAACCAAAGAAGTACCTGTAACCATGAGATTTGGTAACATGGAGATTGTTAATAACCTTGACAGAAACCCTTTCAGTAAAGTGGTAGGGACAGAAGCCTTAGTGCAGAGGATAGAAGACAGAATGTAAGATAAGGAAGGGGAGATAGACAAAAGCAACCCTTGCCTCTGGGCTAGTGGGTATGCTGGCTTCTCTTCCTAAGAGCCATTCAGAAGAAAGGGAGGCAGTTTATGGTCCACTGAAGTGACCGCTCAGGGCCAAAGATGCTGGGTCACTTGTATCTGGGTCCCAGACCTTTGATTATTAGACCCATCTCAGCTCATCTCATGACTCTATACAATGTTCTTAGAAAAGTACTCAGGACATTGTCTGTGCTATAGGAATTTTTGTTATAATTATCACAGTTTTAGGCAAGCTTTAATGGCTTCTAAGAACAAATAATTTATGTAGACCAAATCATTTTTCAGGATGTGTGAAGATTCAAATCTTACATATGGCAAAAACTGAAGCCTAAGAAAAATGATTTGCACATTGGGGTGCAAGTCCCCAGTTTAATGGTCTATTTTCTCTCTCTTCTCTCTTTTCTGAGTTCTGGTTAAGGTGGAAAGCCCTCACTAGTGAAAAGGAAAAGAAATAGTAAAGACATATGCAGAGTACATTTATGAAATCAACCAAAATAGAAATACAGCAGTGTGCATTTAAGTTTTATAGCTGTTTGTACAGGGAGCTGAAAGATGAGAAACAGGGTGGATTTTTAATTTTGGTTTGTCCATTGGTAAAGTGAAAATTCTTAATGTAGAAATGGAGGAATAATAACACAATGGTGCAGCTGTCCCATCGTGGAGGAATTCTGAAACTTGTACAATTCCACTTTCTGGAGATGAAGATTAAGATAGAAAGTGGAAATGATGGACAGGAGGTGTAAAT